CCGTTGGCGGTGCACCGCCCCCCCCCCCCCCGGGCCGCTCCTCCCCTTGAAGCAGCAGCCGTGTGCCACCAGCCTGGGCTGCGTTTTTAAAACGTGGATTCATCGGTGTCTAAATAAACGTCGCCCTTGCCCGCTGGGGGCTGTAGAAGCGCTCCTCGGCGCCGAGGGGCGAGCGCGCCGCCCACCCGCGCCCGCGGAGGGTTGCCCGGCCACCGCGGGGGGTTGCCCCGCACCCGCGGAGCGGAGCCGCCCGCCGCAGGGTCCCGTCCCCCGGCGGGTCCCCGAAGCGGTTCTGGGCAGCGGGTCCCCGGGGACAGGGCTGGGAGCACGCAGGCTTCATTCCCCCCCCCACCGCCCCCAGGCGCATCGCTAACCTGGACGTTAATTTCAGATTCCTTTGAGAATTCAGAGGACAAACTCCCTCTCCCCTCCTTTCTTTTACCCACCTTCACGTATACCAGTCTCTGTGGCAACTATACCGTCTCTGTACGAATGGAGAAAGTAAGCCAGGGAAGTATTTCTTGGCTTAAAGCAGTTAAAAGTTCGGTGACAGTTTTTGTTCTCTTTTCGGTCTGCGGGTTGTTGGTTTTGTTTGTTTGTTTCTCTTTCTTTTTGTATGTTTATGTATTTTTATTTAATTAATTGAATATACTTGGGTAACTCTAGTTATATTTTTATATATTTAATTAGCCCAACAGGTGAAAATGAAAGAGCAGACCCAGTGTTCATGTTCTTTTCACATCCTTTGTGGTTAAGGGTCCCATCATCTTGAAGGTATTAACTCATAACGATTTCTAAAAAACAGGAGAGTGCTCATCTCTATTTTAAAGTGGCAAAAGGACCAAAGCTGAGATCCACAAATGAAGAATTGAGTGTTCACATTGCTCAGGCTCCAAGCCAGCACGATATTTCAGTTGCAATCTGTAAAGCATGCAGTCACTCATCTACATTGTTTCTGGATTGGAGCTGGCGCTTTGGAGCTGGTGGGAAGAACTCCCAGTTGTCTTCACCTATCCACCTACCTGTAAGTACGTAGGATTCAGGGTTTGGATGCAAGTCTCAAATAGCAGTTTCTAAAATGATACTGCAGCCTGCAGACTCAAACAGTCTGAAGAGTATCTGCAGCCCAGCTTTTGCAGGTCTCCATAGGCTTTACGGTTTTGCCACATCAAGTGGCAACAACACTTCAGATACTCAGCTATAACTGCTCATCTGAGCACCTCCGCTTTCCTACAGGGATGTAGAGGCACCGATGGCTTCTGCTGCAAGGTCGACCGACAGGTAACTGCAGAGTCATGGGCGTGTGATGCAGAGGTCCTGCTTCACATAGGATGTATCGAGATGAGATCCAGGGTGGAGAGAAGACGTTGGGGAGTGGTGTAAAGGTTTGGAGAAATGCAGAGGGGAGAGAGGCTGGAAATGTGGAGTAGTTCAGGTTGCACAAGGCCGTGGCAGATTTTCTTCTTAGAGTGTAATTTAAGGCATCTCCTCACTCTTGGGGCCCTACACTGTTTAAGGGTATCATTAGCCAGTACCAGGAGGACGTCAATTCAGTTATGAACAGGAATATTCAAAAAAGCCCTACTGGTTCTGCTCCTTGATAGGACTCTGAAGGTGGGCACGAGTTCATGCCTAAACTCTGCTGAGAGCCACTGACTAGATGTTCTTCTGTTAATTGTGCCCCAAAACACCTACAGCCTCGCAGTGGGCACCACAGTGGTGGATTAACGCTCCGGCAACACCCCTTCAGCATAAAGGATGGAAATGCTCCACCTGGCTCCTTCCCTACCTGAAGGATCCAGCATTCGCCCATGTCATCTCTGCTCAACAGGAAAGTGCTTGTGTTCAATTCCCAGCCATTCTTTCCCCAGAGGCCCGCACACTGCTCGCCGAGCCGTGGGCACTGAGCTGGGAAAGACGTGCTCTCTAGTCCCACTGAAGTGGGAAAGGATGCGTGCGTTGGTCAGGGCAAGAGGGGATGCAGATGACTGTGCAAACCCACATGGGAAATGGTTTCAACAGGTGAGACGTACTGTCACAGTATAACAACATACAGGAGACAAAGAAAGATCAAAGAATGATAATGTAAAATAATAAATAGAAAATATAGGGTTACACAAGAATTTTTTCTTTCATCATTAGTATAATTTTCTGTAAGCCTGCATTTCTGATGCTGCATCCATCATTTATAGAGCTCCTCAGGGCAATAATTATTGCTACTGATAATTCTGACAACAATAACGCATGGCGAGTAATGCAACAATGCAATGCATGGGTGGGTTGGCACCCCATGTAGCACAGTAAGGTCTGGATTGTGACAGTTTCAGCAATACTACCACACTGTAACAATAGCTATTAATGTGAAAAAGATGCTAGAGAAAATACTGCTATTTTTTAATATAGCAATATTTGAAGCATCAAATCTCTGGTGCTATTTACAACTGTATAACAAGACTCTCTGCAGGGTAATCCTACAGTGAATGCTACTTACGTGCAACTGAATGCTGGTGGTGCCCACTGAAACTCAGGCATGGAAGAGAAGAGAAAGGTTGTCTACATGCATCTGCAGCGTGGAGGAGAAATACACAGGTTAGCTCCAAACAAGCTGGTTGAAGTGTTGAGGAGCAGCCGGGGCTGGAAAATGGAGTTCGGCAAGGGCTACCTACGTGGCATTCATGGGAGGACACAGGTCTGTGATACACAAGTCAAGCTCAGCCTGCAAGCTTTACAAGATTTACAAGCAAACTTGGGCTGGAGCCCAGTTTTGAGAAAAGCTGGACTCGAATAACAGTTTTCCTTCAAAATTAAGTGAGGCTTGAAGCTGGCATTTGAGTTTTTGCCTTTTTTTGCATCTGAAACTTAGGAAGCGAATGCTACCTTGAAGCACGTGGAAGAAAAGAATGCAGGAGTTACTCCAGGAGTAATGTGTTATTTACTAATTACTCACCCTTTTGTTTCACCTAATTGTTTATGACTTAAAAATGCATTTATATGCCAGGTATTTAATAAAGATGCAGAAAGTTTAGAAACGTTGACCTCATCCTACAAACATGTATGGATATGAGTAATTGTGTTCAAATGAGTTCCCACTAGCTTTGATGGGACAGTGTGATTGACTTAAAACATAATACTAGCAGAATTAAGTTTCTTGATATTTCTTCGTTCTCCCATAATCCAGAAAAAACCAAAACAATTGAATGTAGTTTCATCATGGAATTTTAAAAAGCTATTAAAATCTCATAAGCAATCAATTCCTTTACATTTGATGATTATACTACTTCCCTACACAGTCACATTTCAAACAATATTTTAAATACGTTGTTTGTACTTCACTGTAATGTTGCACTGCAGATATTCTTATAATTTATCTGTGTTAAGGTTCCTAAAGATCTATTACAGCTGACAAGTCTTCTTTTACAAGCACTTAAATATAGACTTGAATGACAAACCATGAAAGTAAATCTTTCTTCATTCTTACTTCCCCTCATTCTAAATTTAATGCCTGTCATACCTGACCGAGACCTTTCTGTGAAGGAGCACAGGAATGACAGGGATTGATATAATGAGAGGGGGTCTTACAAAAAGTTTGCTTTGTACCTACTTGGTGGACTTGGCAGTGTTGGGTTTACGGTTGGACTCGATCATCTTAAAGGTCTTTTCCAACCTAAATGATTCTATTCTATTCCGTTCTATGATTCTACTGAAATTACTGGGAAACTTTCAGTTGACCGTGGTGGTCCGTACGTCAGAAATAAAAATTCCTATTGCAAAACCACAAAATCTATTTTGCATCAAAGGCTTCTTCTCAGTTCAGTATATCAGTAACAAGTATTAATCCATGATCACGCCTCTCTCTTTAATTTCAATTTCTGGATATATTATTTACTTTTTCATAAATTATTTACGCTGTCACAAATCCAGCATAAGAGACAAAGAGGTGGGCCTTCTGTCTCTTAACCATTTTTCTTAAAAAAAAACAGAAAATAAGTTGGAACCAGATTAAAAAAAAATTATGCCTGTATATAAACTTCTTCTTCAGTAATCAGCATTGTCATAAAATTTTTGGAAAACAGTGGCAGTTTAAGATTAACATATGCAGGATTGTAGCACTTGTGTAAATAGATAGCATGCAATGACCAAGTGTCTTAACTGGCTTTTTTTGTTGTTGTTGTTATATTCAATGAATCGGTAGTGGCTGTTATTCTCGCTGGCCCTAATCTGCAGTGTGCTGAGTACACTTCACCTCTGTGGTTGGGGTGGCAAGTACTTTGCTAGATGGAACCCCAGATGTCATTCAGTTCAGCCAAAATGTGCTTGCTGAAATACTGTAAAAAGTATGACAAGGTCGTATTCAGTGCCACAGCAATACCAAAATACCATT